CATGTACAACAGAACAGGCATATACACAAGAGGACACATGTACAACAGAACACGCATATACACCAGAGGACACCTGTAAACCAGAGGACACATGAACATTAGAACACACATATACCCCAGAGGACACATGTACAACAGAACACACATATACCCCAGAGGACACATGTACAACAGAACACACATATACCCCAGAGGACACATGTACAACAGAACACACATATACCCCAGAGGACACATGTACAACAGAACACACATATACCCCAGAGGACACATGTACAACAGAACACACATATACCACAGAGGACACATGTACAACAGAAGGCGTATGTGCAACAGAACCAACATAAACACGAGAACACACATATACACCAGAGGACACTTATACACCAGAGGACACATGTACACCACAACACACATATACACCAGAACACACATATACACCAGAGGATACATGAACACCACAACTCACATATACACCAGAACACACATATACACCAGAGGACACTTATACACCAGAGGACACATGTACACCACAACAAACATATACACCAGAGGACACATGTACAACACAACACACATATACACCAGAACACACATATACACCAGAACACACATGTACACCAGAACACACATGTACACCAGAACACACATATACACCAGAACACACATATACACCAGAACACACATATACACCAGAACAAACATATACACCAGAACACACATGTACACCAGAGGACACATATACACCAGAACACACATGTACACCAGAACACACATGTACACCAGAATACACATATACACCAGAACACACATATACACCAGAGGACACATATACACCAGAACACACATGTACACCAGAACACACATGTACACCAGAACACACATGTACACCAGAATACACATATACACCAGAGGACACTTATACACCAGAGGACACATGTACACCACAACAAACATATACACCAGAACACACATATACACCAGAACACACATGTACACCAGAACACACATGTACACCAGAACACACATATACACCAGAACACACATGTACACCAGAACACACATATACACCAGAACACACATATACACCAGAGGACACATATACACCAGAACACACATGTACACCAGAACACACATATACACCAGAACACACATATACACCAGAACACACATGTACACCAGAATACACATATACACCAGAACACACATATACACCAGAGGACACATGTATAACCCAACACACATATACACCAGAACACACATATACACCAGAACACACATATACACCAGAACACACATATACACCAGAGGACACATATACAACAGAGGACATATACACCAGAACAAACATATACACCAGAACACACATATACACCAGAGGACACATGTATAACACAACACACATATACACCAGAACACACATATACACCAGAGGACACTTATACACCAGAGGACACATGTACAACAGAACACACATATACACAACAGGACACATGTACAACAGAACACACATTTACACCAGAGGGCACATGTACAACAGAACACATATATACACCAGAGGACACATGTACAACAGAACACATATATACACCAGAGGACACATATACACCAGAGGATACATGTACACCAGAATACATATTTACACCAGAGGGCACATGTACAACAGACACACATATACACCAGAGGGCACATGTACACCAGAACACATATATACACCAGAGGACACATGTACAACAGACACACATATACACCAGAGGGCACATGTACAACAGAACACATATATACACCAGAGGACACATATACACCAGAGGATACATTTACACCAGAATACACATTTACACCAGAGGGCACATGTACACCAGAACACACATATACACCAGAGGACACATGTACAACAGAATACACATTTACATCAGAGGACACATGCATAACACAACACACATATACACCAGAACACACATGTACAACAGAACACACATATACACCAGAACACACATGTACACCAGAACACACATGTACAACAGAACACACATATACAACAGAACACATATATAACAGAACACTCATATACACAAGAGGACACATATACACCAGAACACACATGTACACCAGAACACACATATACACCAGAATACACATGTACAACAGAACACACATATATACACCAGAACACACATATACACCAGAACACACATGTACACCAGAACACACATGTACAACAGAACACACATATACACCAGAACACACATGTACACCAGAACACACATGTACACCAGAACACACATGTACACCAGAACACACATATACACCAGAACACACATATACACCAGAACACACATGTACACCAGAACACACATATACAGCAGAACACACATATACACCAGAACACACATGTACAACAGAACACACATATACACCAGAACACACATGTACACCAGAACACACATGTACAACAGAACACACATGTACAACAGAACACATATATAACAGAACACTCATATACACAAGAGGACACATATACACCAGAACACACATGTACACCAGAACACACATATACACCAGAATACACATGTACAACAGAACACACATATATACAGCAGAACACACATATACACCAGAACACACATGTACACCAGCATACACATATACACAAGAGGACACATGTACAATAGAACACACATATATACAGCAGAACACACATGTACACCAGAATACACATGTACAACAGAACACACATATACAACAGAACACACATGTACAACAGAACACACATATCCAACAGAACACACATGTACAACAGAACACACATGTACAACAGAACACACATGTACAACAGAACACACATGTACACCAGAACACACATGTACAACAGAACACACATGTACAACAGAACACACATGTACACCAGAACACACATGTACAACAGAACACACATGTACAACAGAACACACATGTACACCAGAACACACATGTACAACAGAACACACATGTACAACAGAACACACATGTACAACAGAACACACATGTACACTCTAATCAATAAGTACACGATAGTTTACTACATCCTGATCTGTCACCTTCAAGTAATGATCCGGTCTTTCACCACGTGTTACGATCGCATGTGTCAGGCTATATCACGTCATGTCAAATGTGTGAGCAGTTCATGTCGAAAAGAATTTAAAATATTTTGTTAACCGTACATGACACGCAAGAACAAACTCTGATTCGGCCATCCATAGTTTTTTGTGTTTCTCATCTCCAACCTCAACCAGCATGAGAGTGGGCTCGCGAAGTAAAAATAAATATACCAACAAAAATGTGTTTCACTAATTGTGTGACATTTTTAAGTTTTAAACATAGGTTCGAGTCTTTAAATTATTTTATGACGTAGATCGAGTTAATTTGCTTCGGAAACGATTTTTTTAATAAACATAGCTGAAGAATGATCAAGCTTACCTGGGCTTTTGTGAGTGTACAATGTTGTTAATATTTTTTAAATTCTTGGGGCATAACTTTCTGAAGCGGCGGGGTCTGTTGAGAAACGAAAACCTTTTATCATTTCAAGTCGAAATGAAAATACAGGAAAATGGGAAACTCCGACAAATACACGGACAGCCTTCTATAATGAATAGAACAATTATAATAAAAAACGAATATAAGAGTATGCAAAACAGCTAAACGCAATCTTGTCGCCTGAATGCCTGAATTACATTGTTGATGTTACATTGTTGAGACATGATGTTACATTGTTGACGCATGATGTTACATTGTTGACAAACGACGTTACATTGTTGGTGCATGACGTTACATTGTTGACGCATGATGTTACATTGTTGACGCATGATGTTACATTGTTGACGCATGACGTTACATTGTTGGTGCATGACGTTACATTGTTGGTGCATTACGTTACATTGTTGGTGCATTACGTTACATTGTTGACGCATGACGTTACATTGTTGACGCATGGTGTTACATTGTTGACGCATGACGTTATATTGTTGGTGCATGACTTTACATTGTTGACGCATGACGTTACATCGTTGACGCATGATATTACATTGTTGACGCATGACGTTACATTGTTGGTGCATGACGTTACATTGTTGACGCATGACGTTACATTGTTGGTGCATGACGTTACATTGTTGACGCATGATGTTACATTTTTGGCGCATGACGTTACATTGTTGACGCATGGTGTTACATTGTTGGTGCATGACGTTACATTGTTGACGCATGATGTTACATGGACCGAATCATTAATGTAAGCTATTTTAATCTTATCACAGCTTATGAATAAGCCATTATATACTCATTCATATCATTATAAGTTTATTAATTAAAGCACAATCCAATGCAAGCTTAAGGAGGGATTTTATTAATGCTTTTCGAATATGGGTCTCTACTTTTGAACATTCTGAATACAGGTAATCATTGTCCAATTCATGACAGATTATCCCCTACGAAGAATGTCGCACCACTCGTGACAAGTCGTCAGTTTCCGTGACAGGCGTGCATGTAACGCTTCAATCGTTACGGCAGCTATCCGGGGACCGACACACCGGCGTACACGGGCGATTTCATCAGCGGCTTTCTGCGCGAGTTACTTCTCGTTCTTGCCTAACGAGCATGTGGAATTCCGCTTTACTGAGTGAGTTCAACCTCGCCCTTCTCCACTGAATCACTCCAGGAGAACATGATCACCGATAGCCAATCAGCGCGCCGTATTTTGACCTAACCTCTCAGCTGTTGTTGCGACTAGTCCATTATTTTCTGCGGGGGGTGACTAGATGGACATTTTTTAATATAAAATTGTATACAAATCACACAGCAAGATTAAATATATTTGAATGTGCAGTAATACATTAGTCTTTGATCTTATTATTTTAAGGCTGTTTTAAATCTATATCTATTGATTTGAAAAATATTAGTACATCCTTCCACCCCTCCATAATGCCGCAATAGACGTACCCGGAACAAAGTATTGCTATAATCAATTTACAGTTGATACCGGCAACCTTGAGAGTGTATGAGGCAGAGAGACAGACGGACTTTATAAAAGTGTGATCAGAGGACTCGTCGCCAGCATTCGTCAGTGTTCGTTTGAGAGAAAACATTCGAAATGGAAAACGACAGACGTGAGAACACTGTTTACCATTCCAGTGACAGTAACCAACAGTCGTTGCTGGCGGCACTCAATCGATTTGTGCAAGCTGTAAATGCAATGGACGACACAGTGATGATACCATGCCGGCTTCGAGACATGGAAGTCTCGGCTAGACCCGAAATAACGGTGGAAAATAACAACCGAGCAGTTTTACCAACGATACCCGCTGGCTCGGACTTGTACAGCTTCTACTCAATGCTGAACGCGATAAAGCAAGAGATAATTGTTGGGCCTCAAGTGGGTGCTAGCGAGGAGGCAATGCAAGAAGAAAGCGAATCGGACGATAATGGCAATTCAAGGAAAACGGCAGCTGCTTTTCGACATCATTTGAAAGGTCTGTTCGATTTGTTGCATCATTTGACAGAAACTGCAAAATATTTGTCCAGCAGGTATGAAAACGATGTCACACAAACCTCGTCAGTTTCATCGTTTGCACTGTGAGGTTGGGGAAAAGTATGTGTGTGTTTGGAGTCTGCAGAACATTATCATAATGAGTTCGAGCGGCGGTGTGCAGAAGCCAGGCGATCGAACGCAGCTGGCGAAGTGAGACGTCGCTAGGTGAAGCAACGCAAAACAGTGTCGATGAATGGACAGACACCACCCCAGTGTGTGTCTTGTGGGCCGGCGAGGTGCTATGCGACGACATTGATAACTCGTGAAAACAACAATCTGCACGCCGCAGAAACACGACATGACATCTCGAAATAGTTTTAGGTCAAGAACCAGTTGTAGGACTGGATAGCCACACAAATCATCACTTCCTGTGGAGTTGACGAAAGCAGAACTAATTCAAATGACTTGGTGTCATATTAACAGAATGCCTAAAACACTCTTCTATATGGTTATGTACATTTTTATTCGATGCAGCTTTCTATTTTGTTAGTGAATTGTTTTGGAACTGTTTATGAATATTTTGAACTTATATGAATATTATTTTTAACGTATATGATAAATGCCTACGTTTGTGTGATCTGGTGAAATGGAAATATTTTCTAGAAGATTTCGTCATGGAGTTTTGAAGTTGAAGATTGTGTCAGTGGTGACTGAGACAGAACTGTTCTAGATGGACTCGATCCCGGACAGAAAGTTTATTGAGAACAAACATTTAGAACAATTTCGCCGCACGTCTGTATAGGGCGGCCCTAACTGTTTTCTGTCTTGAATGTGCTCAACAGCTGGCATGGTTGATTCAAATTTATGGTTGACAGTTTTAACTTTCCTGGATCACTTTATAGTTGAAACATCTGTTTATATTGACGATGTACATGCCGGTTCCAGTTAAAATCGTTACCATGGTAACACGCCTTTTTGTTCAGAATAACTTTACGCAGCTATTTATGAACTGTGATTTGTATTTAAAAATCTTGTTTTCAACTCGGGTTAAAACCATTGCGATGGTCATGACTATCAATCACACTGAACTGGTTATCGTCATGCTATGTTGTAGATCGTTCTCCATAAATATCGTCACATGTTTTGTCCGTGACAGTGAACAGCGGAACTCGCTCACCCGACCAGTCATTGTTTGAATCAACCATACCGAACCGTTCACTGAACACGTGTAACGTCGACCATGTACATAGTCAGTAATTTATGAACCAGGGGGTGTCAGAGTGGTCAGTTTGACCAGCGCCCAACTGGATGTACTCTGCATCTCAGGCTTGTGCAATCCCGGTGACGTGGAGCCGCAACTCTCATTAATTCCATTTGTAAATAAATATTTTGAACGAAATTAACATCGTTTGTTCCACCTGAAAGTGCATGACAAGAACAACGCTGAAAAGCCGTGGACTTGTATCACATGGCGTTCAAACGTCCGTTATTGATTGTACTTAGATATCCAGGAGGTATGAACTCGGGACAAATGTCATCATGGGGTGTGAACAATTGTGACAGTGGTGTTTGTATCATGTGGTATTAACACGTGACAGTCGTAGATTTCATCATGGGGTGTGAACACTTGTGACAAGGGCTGGGACGGGTAACTCGGGTACTCGGGTTGGGTGGGATCCTGAGTAGGACCCGGGTACCCACAGTACTACCCGGACCCGTGGTTAGTCACATGATATATTGTTTAATGACCAAACCTCGCTATAGCTAAGTGGTTACACTACAAGGCCCTAATGTTCGCATTTCTTTCTGTTGATGCACACATTCCTTTTTACTTGTTTATGTTTGAGTAAAGATAAAGTTTCAGTCAACTTCAGTGTACGCATGATTTGATCGTTTCATAAGAGACCATGTATCTATTATATGGTCTCTGGTTTCATACATGTATCTAAACAGTTTTTGCCAGGGCTACAGTTAAACTATTCCCAATTAGACATTGTGTTCCCAACTCTTGAGACCTACAGTGGGTAGGGTCGGGTACCCGGGTAGTAAGTTTGGACTCGTCCTAGCCCTACTTCTGACCTGTATTAATCTGAGTCAGCGAGCAAATGTTTGATTCGACTGTCAATACTACAGCTATATCTTGATTATATCACGACAGAAGAGGTTCCCAGCAATCTGTGCTTGTCATAAGAGGCGACCAAATGGATCGGGTGGTCAGGCTCGGTGACTTGGTTGATTGTGTATCAGTGTACCGATGTGTACCCTGACCGAGTGGGGCGTTGCTCAAAGTATCGATCACAGCATTGTCTGGTCCAGACTCGATTACTCAAAGTTGATAGCACGAGCAACTATCCGCACCAACAGATCGATATTTTAAAAAAAGAAAGAAACTTCAACCGTTCGATCAATATGAAACAAAATACCCTGTACAAAGTTCAAAGTGACGTCTTCAGTCTGAAATATGCATGTTATCTGGAAATATTTACAATAGATTCTTGACGTCATGGTGTTCCAAATCACAGTAAACCAACGTAAGAGCAAGGCGCTTCGCTACTGCAGATGAACGTGCCACACAGTGACGCACACCCGTAACAGCGGGCAATTGGGTGCGACATGGCGAGGACGTCCCGTCATCGTTGCCAATGGCAACGAGCAAGGTTCAATCCACCTCATACACAATATGAGATTGCCAATGACGTTTTGTGGTCCTCTTATGTGTTTATGTACACAGCCACGACTACATGTGAATTCAGCACACAGTCGAGTCATACCTGCTTTGAAAGCGATCGGGTTGGACCCATATTGGATTGTCGTGTACACGCCGCAACAAGAGCCATGTCTCGTATCTAGGCTACAAACACTGCCTACTCGTAGAGATAAATCATTTTGGGTAATGTTGACTACGTGTGTTTAATTATCAATAATATTACAGTTGTACATCGATAATTCCACAGAACGCTTGTTCATAGTGTGTGCATGTACTGTGGATGAATGTACACATCGCATTCTCCGCTCCCTGGGGATTATAGAACCCAAACTGTCTTGACAGTTCTACATTTACGTTTTCATCTCTGGTAATCTTTCGCTGCTGGGACATATTTATTTCAAGTTTTAATGACAAAGAATTAACCTTGAAAGTAATTTGGTATTTGTTTCATCAGACACGTTTTGTATACAGTGACGGAGTGACAAACACACTGCATACACTAGTATTGTGTTTGACTACAGTGCTATGTTGATAGTAATGTATTCGTGGGGTAGACCGAGACTCACACATACTTATCGTCGTGTGAGTCAAGTGACTAATTACCAATTACCTGTTACAGTGACATACCGTAATGTTAGGGCCAAGTGTGATTATTCCCCTGGTATTGAGATTGTCTCTCATACAGAGAGTGAGTGAGTATGGTTTTACGCCGCTCTTAGCAATATTCCAGACACGAGAGCATATTTTATACACACAATCACATTCATTCCATCGTCACCTTGTTCCTGAGAGATGTTCTCATCCTTTTAACTCCGCGTGTGTTTTTGTTCTTTAACGTTGCCCTCAGCAATGGATATTATCAACACGCCATCGGGATCAGATGACACGCAATAAACCAAGTCACTGAGTATGGCCAACCCATCCCTTCAGTCACCCCTTACGACCACCATGGGCTGCTGAGGATTATTCCTTCATCCCAACGGGTGCCGTTTTATGAGACCGAGGGTTGATGAAAACTTTAGGTTTCCTTTATAGAAGTATGGTAGACAATTTATTTCAGTGACTTTGTGTTAGCCAAGTATAGATGGTCACTCTCTGTGCCCCCCACCCCCAACACACATGCACACGCACACGCACACACACACACACACACACGCACGCACGCACACACACACACGCACACACACACACACGCACGCACACACACACACGCACACACACGCACACACACGCACGCACACGCACGCACGCACACACACGCACACACACACGCACACAATCTGGAGAGACACGTTTACTAATTAAAATACATTTACTTACATCTTTAGATATAATAAAGTATCTAAATCAAAATAATTAATGATAATTACCATCCAAAATAATAATTATCATAAAAAAATAGTTATTATATCAGGTCATTCAAATTCTCTAAGTACACGTGTACACAATGATTCAGCTGATAACCTGATGAATGTCTACAACGAAAACAGGTTACTCATTGGCGTACAGGACAAACTATGTTAGCACTACCGAGAATATTCCTTAACACGTGGAGAAGGCACTCGCCGCCCACACCGCCGTGATTACGACAGAGCGATGTGATGGTGCGCTCACGGAGTCATCGGTGTTGAGATGTTGTCGACTGTAGTAAGCTAGCAGGCTGAAGTAAGGTCACTCGCACAAAGGAGGCGGAAGGAAATATATTTCCTGAATTTGCGTTTGAACTTTGCGTTGCTGATACCACATTGTTATAGTAAACTCGTACGATGCTTTCATCGTCTAGTCTGTCTAGTTTCAGCTATATGACGGGGGTCTGTAAATAATCGAGTCTGGACCAGACAGTCCAGTGATTAATATCATGAGCATCGATACACGTAATTTGGGTCGCTGACATGCATGACCTCTGTGATATATCTGACAGCGGGGTAAAACAGCATTCATTCACTGTCACTCTCTGGCCAATAACATTCTTAAACGCTATCTTTAACGAGCAATGTTACATCATCTCGTTGCTTGACCATCCATACGTTAAATATAATAAGTGAGCGAGTTGGGTTTAACGCCGCATTCAACAGTATTACAGTTATATCAGGGCGTGACAGCATGGTGTGGGAGAAAAGGCGGACGTGACGCAGGTCTTACGTTTACCACGGGTATGGTGCTGACAAATCTTGAAACAATCGGGGCTAATCGGGATTCGAACCTATAATCATAGTTTTCTGGCGAGTCCAAGGGATACAACTCTGCACAGCGATTTGCCGCGCCTTAGACAACTGGGCCGCGTTGTGAAAAGTGAGTTAGTGAGTGAATGTCGATCTACAATGCAGTCAGCAATATTTCACCTACATCACGGCGGCATGTAAATAATCGAGTCTGGGTCATAAAAAACAGTGGTTGACAGCATGAACAACAATCAGCGAAGTGACACATTGTAACCACCCGATGCTCAGTCAAAATAAACGACAAACAAGGAATCTGGACCTATTCTGCAAATGAATTCAAACGGGTCTTTGTTTGAAGGTACACTGAAATATTCTCGTGTATTGTAAACGAATGCTAAGTCGCTGCTCTGCCTCAGTTAGTGACCAAGTTTGGTTGTTTTTTGTTTAACGCCGCACTCAGCAATACTCCCGCTATATGACGGCGGTCTGTAAATAATCGAGTCTGGGCCAGACAATCCTGTGATTAATATCATGAGCATCGATCCACGCAATTGGGATACGATGACATGCATCAACCAAGTCAGCGAGTGTGACCACCCTTAATAACTTCTTGATAGACTTACTAACCGACAACAGCATTAATAGACTACTACTAAAAGTAACACATAACTGTTTCCCAGTTTAATCAGTAAGACGCCAGTTCATTGGATGGTTCTGGTTTGTTTCACTGAATTTGGTTGGTCCATGCTGTTGAATACAATAGATATAACCTTATGGCTGGTCACCTGTTTGTAGGGCACCGCAATTCGAGTTGTGTCCCTTAGTCGTGCCGAGATCCGCTGATCGTAGATTGTAATCCAAGACTCACCTCGTCAGTGTCAGTGTCAGCTCACTCACAACCCGTGCTCGTCGGTCTCACCAAAGTAGCAAACCTATGATTGTGGGTTCGAATCCCGGTTCGCCCCGATTATATTTCTAGGTTTGTCAGCACCATACCCGTTCTCGTGGGTTTTACCGAAGTGGTAAACGTCTAAGACCTGCATCACTTCGGGCTTTCCTCCCACATTAAGCTGACAAGCTGTAATATATCTGGAAAACTGTTTAAAGCGGCGTTAAACCCAACTCACTCACTCGATGATATTGGCGTGACAGTTTGACATCTAGTTGTATGGACATTATAACGGACAAAACCCTTCAATGCAAACATTCTAATCCCTTTACTAATCTAGTGGTCTAGTGGTAGAGCGTCCTCCCGGAGAGCGGCCGGCCGTGTCATACTAAAAGATGGTACTTGATGTTACCCTGTCTGTCGGTCGGCATTATGGGGCTAAAACAAGGACTAGACGGCTCGGAGTTAGTATTCTGTGTCTGAGTGGGGTATCCATGTTAAACTGCGGCATGGTATCTCAATGGACTAGCACTTTAATTCAGGATCAGTCCGCACTATTACAAGCACTCCCCCCCCCCCCCCCCCCCCCCCACACACACACACACAGACACACACGTGCACGTCGGTATATATGTGTAATT